GTAGAACAATATCTAAATGGACATGCAGATCACATTGTTCGAATATACATTTCCTTTTGTGAGCAACTCCCCCCCCCTCCCCCTTGAGAAACGTTTGATAAAATATTACTCAAAGATACATGCAAGTCATAGGACTGTGATATATAGCTTTATAAGGATAAATATTCCTTCCAAATGCTTCCAGTTTGAACCATTCAGACATAGCTTATCCAAGTAATCATATGCAAGGCTCACGTTGTACAAATATCTATTCATATATATACAAAGGGCCAATGCACAAAAGACATGGTAACAGCTGTAATTCTTTGAGCTATGAACTTAAATTCCTTTTGCGTATAAAATGAAGATGGGTATTTTTTAAAAGGTTATATCGCTATGTGAATCAATGCTGGTATGATTAATTCACCAAAATGTATTTAATATCTCTATCACATACTGATTACGTGTTATTTTCTATTTTTTTCTGTAAATATATTTATGTTCTGTGTATCCTGCCAACTCAATTAACGAAGCTAGATTGTCCAGTGTATTATTTCCTGTTAGTTTCAATTTTCATCAAAGAGAAATAAATTAATGAAAATACATTTGTTTACTTGCCCTTTTGCATGAAAAATACCTCCGCTTAATGCATTATAACATAATGTGCTTCAGATAATGCTTCTCATTAATGTACAGTTGAATAAAAAAAACACCAGGATTTCAACATCATTTTCAGTTTCATTTTAGATTCATCAGTAGGATTAATCTACCCGTTAATCCTATGCAAAAGACATATAGCTGTGCAGAAGTTCATCATGTAGGGAAAAAATACAACCGTTAACGTAGAAAAAAATACAAATTCATCCATACTGCTATTCCAATGCATCTTAGAAAATCCCATAAACAATAGGATCCCACAACATAAGGATCCCACAACAACAACATCCCACAACAGAAGGATCCCATTAACGAAATGATCGCACAACAAGAGGATCAAATAAACATAAGGATCCCACAACAAGATCCCACAACAAGAGAATCCCATAAACAAAAGGATCCCAGAACAAGAGAATCCCACAACAAGAGAATCCCACAACAAGAGAATCCCACAACAGGAGAATCCCACAACATGAGAATCCCACAACAACAACATCCCACACCAACAACACCCACAACAAAATCCCACCAACAACATCCACAACAAACAACATCCCACAACAAACAACATCCCACAACAACAAGGGAATCCCACAACAACAACATCTCACAACAACAACATCCCACAACAAAAGAATCCCACAGTACACACAAACCCACAAACCGTAGCTGCAACATGCAACACACTCCCTCCCCCCCCCCCCCCCATTGGAAGACGGTCTGCACGTGACCTGTACATTATGCAGACTCTGGCAAGCCTTCCGCCAGCCGCTTCAGCCGAAAGCCGGAACAAGGGCCTCTAAGGTGTTTCAGAAGCCTCGGCTTTGCGTGAGAAACGATTAGCGAAATTGGGAGATTTTTTTATCTATAATTGTTATTTATTTTTATTATATTATTATTATTATTATTATTATTATTATTATTATTGTTGTTGTTTATTTTATTATTGTTATTATTATTCTTATATTTATTATATTATTATTATTATTATTATTATCATTATTATTATTATTGTTATTATTATTATTATTATTTTTATCATATTATTATCATTATTATTGTTGTTGTTATTATCATTATTGTTATCATTATATTATTATTATCATATTTTTTATATCATTTTATTATTATTATATCATTATTGCTATTATTATTATTATCATCATTATCATTATTATCATCATTTTTTAGGTTAGTCTCTGGTACTTGGCGAAAAGGTGTATTTTTTCTATTAGTATTTTTTTTACATCCTTAGTCTTTCTTTCTTGTTAAAAGCAGAAGAGGAGAAAGATGAAGATGATGAAAAGAGAGGAAAAATAACACGAAGAAGAGAAATAAGAAGTGCAATAAAAAAGAAAGAGAAAATGAAGAAAGAGGAAGAATATGTTTAATAACAATGATGATAATAATGATAAATATTATCATCATCATCATAATCAGAAAAAATAAGAAGAAAAAAGGGAAGAAAAAGAAAGAAAAGGAAAAGAAAAAGAGATAAACAAAAAGAAGAGATTAGCTAGAATGGATTCAGAAAAACAGCCTTATTAATGGGAAGTTAAATAACAAAATACCTTTTTTGTACTTTATTTTTCATCAAATTCCTTTGTGTGATAAATATTTCAGAAAATATGAAATATTATGCCGAAATAAGGCTGCTTCTATAACATACACTTACACATATGATAATATACATAAGCTCACACACACACAGATAGATAGATAGATAGATGGATGGATAGATAGGTGGATGGATGGATGGAATGGATGGATAGATGATGGATGGATAAAATAGATAGATAGATAAGATAGGTAGATAGATAAGATAGATGGATAGAAGATGGATGGATGGATAGATAGATAGATC